GTCCCACTGATTCATTTATTTATTCTCTTAAAGTATTGCTGTTGTCCTTCCTCTATGGAATAGGAACGAGCTGTTTCAGCATTGTATATATATGTCGGCTGCCGAGACAGCAAAGCTTCTAGGCTCCTTGGCTCCCTCCCTCTAAGCAGTTGAATTTACATGCTAAGTACGTGGAACAGGGTGGTTGCTGCGGCTGCTATCGACGAGTTGCAGGACAAGGTTGCAGAGCTTGAGCGTTGGTTGAGGGGGACGGCGACGGGTAATTGGTGGCATGTGGGGAAGTATGCCACTGCAAGTCAGGTAAGACCTGACATCAGCCTTGTACTCGGTGGTGTTCGTATGCTGCGTGAAATGCGAAGGGCAGGTATATAGGTCCTAGTGGCTCTTAACAACGCAACCCTAAGGTTTGAGAGCTTCTCTGAGTGCTGTTCGTATAGAAATAAAGGTTTAGAAAGTATCTCTCGCCCTCTGTTATGCACACTTCAATGCTTCTGTGAGTTTAAATAAGCTAGTGATAACTTACGACACAGCATATCCCATTCCAGCTTCAACACATGAGTCTAAAACGCTTGACTTGAGGTTAATATGTTCACATAAATATATTTCATGAAACACACCGGATGCGTAGGATCAACTAAGCCAATAGATCAAGGTAGATACTTCCCATCAGCCCTACAAAAGCCAGAATTTTGATGAAATACCGACGTGAAATATGCCAGGCAACATGGGAGAATGTATGAAAGGAGATACTCGAAAGAATGGAAATGTTCTGAGAAGCTTGTCATGGAACTGCTGTCCATCCCCAAATGCATGTTGAACACGTCTCTGCTGCGACTCCATGAATACAATCCCTCCAGCAGCTAAATACACAATCCCATGGTGACATATATGTGCCATTTGCTCGGTTAAAGGCATAGACGAACTCGGTGTGATAAGATTCATGAACAAAGGTATGGGGCGCAGCAGTCGCAGGAGACCAGCTCTGAGACGATGCCAGCTGCGGACTCACGGGAGTTGGTTTCGCATGGCTGGGTATACACTCCATCCCCTGTGTTTCTTCTGCCTTTATGCCATGTCCCTCGCTGATTTGTGTCTCACTAGGCTTAAAACCCGAGAAACCACATCCGAACGGTGCTTGAACTTGTGAACATGTGGGGTGAGTGGATACGCGGGGGGTGGAATGTTGGTGCCATCGTGAGCTCGGTGTATGCAAATTGGCATCGACGAAGGTGGAGGTATTCCTGTTCTCTGTTTGAAGTCAGTGCTGCTCCAACTGTAAGATGGGACTGAGAGCCGAACCTGATTTCCCCTGTCGAATACTTACTCGACGGGCTCGTGGTCCTTGGAGATTCCATCTGTATAATTTGGCTGTAATACCATTCTGTTAGACGTACGAATTACCATTAGGTCTTCCAACTTAGAGCAATGGGACCATGCCTTTTTGTTCTGCCCAATTATGTTTCTTGACGAGGTGGTCTTTAACTCTCGCCTCTCTTCGCACAGCCCAATTGCACCCATGTATTGGGCATCGCGTTCTCGATCCATGGATGTCCTTCGCGTGTCGAGAAGCTTCGTACTGTCTAGAGAAGCTCTGAAAGCATTCATCGCATATAGCCGCCATCCTGATGTGTTAATCGTAGGGTTGGAGCAGTAGCACCACAAGAAGGATGTGAAGACTCGAGGAAAAGAGAGAGAACTTATTCTTGGACATGACAAGAAAATAGGACTTGACTGGGACTTACTCCAAGCCATCGGGAAGGTGCAGATTCGAGACATGGTGGTTTCCCATGGAGCGTGTAAAAGAGCACTCTCAGCGCTCTTTCCTCGTCTAAACATTCGCATTCGAGAGACCTAGAGCGACAGGTCACTCCATACAGCATCTCCTAAAGCAACAGTTCGAGGTGGGGATCCGATAGGATGCAATATCGCAGTGTTTGCTTGAACGCGCGCTGCGTGGCATAGTCGGTAGGCATTGTATCTATCTCAAGACAAGAATCGAGGCCGGCAGAGAGCATCTTGGTAAATTCCTCTGGATCGCGGCAATCTGCATTGCAGTGAGCCCAGCTCAAAGAGCGACTTGATGTAGACAATGTCTTTGAGATGATATAGTGATGTAGACAAAGGTTTTTCGAAGTTCGGGAGGTGCCTCTTGGGGGGAAATCGCGTAGATGCAGGCGCGACCACGCACCCACTAAGGCTTGCAAAGAATGCCGCTAAGAAGCAACTCTCCAATCAACAGCATTGATCAGGAGGAGGAGGAGCTCCCTGTACGGAGTACGTTGGGCATGAAGGCTTCATGCCTGGAGGCTTTTGGAGAAAACCCCCGGGATAGCTAGCCTAGCCTAGCTAAGGTAGCTAGGTACGTTGTCCGTCGGTTCCCGCCCGCATGGACTTCTTGCCTTTGCGGTCTGGGGTCCACCTGGGTCTTTTATCACTGTGATTGGGTAGAAGAAGGACCCTGAACTTAGTGTGAAGGGCTTTTAAAACGCAACGCGACCTGTATGTAACTATTAACAAACATATTGTTATTGCCATCAGAGAACAAACACCGCAAGCTCCCTGATACCCTTGTCATCTTCGACTGAAGTTTGCTTCTCAATAGGTCTGATTGTCATTCTGATAGGTTTTGGGTTTGATAGATGGTCTCCTAGCTACAGAACCCCCTGTGTATATGACACTGGATATATATAGTACGAATTGAATATCTGGGTTAGACAAGAACACATTTCAGGCTGCTGAGGTAGATCTCGGGGCGTCCTAGGAATGATATGTGGGCTTCAGCGTGTTCGAGACAAATCCTTGCTCAGGGATAGATTGAAGTGGACTAGTTCGAAGTTACTTCATGCTGGAACTCTTGAAAGTTCTTCAGACACTCGTATACTCGTCCGTATACTCGTCCGTATACAGGAATTAAAGGGAAGATGTGTGGTGACTAGAAAATGATAGACTAGGAGACAACATTGGAATAGGATAAATACTGGAGAATACTCCGTTTGTGAAATATGTATGGAAAGAGGTGAGAAAAAGAGAACCTTCCACCCAGAATTACGCAGTGCACCAATTGCAAGTTCCACTATGCACTAAGGTACTCTTTGACCACCTTAATAAAGGTTATTGATCCTGTTCGCCCACCACCATAAAAAAACGGCGAGGGAGCAAATCATATCACTGCGCCTGGGCCCCAAGTACCAAGCCAAATATAGTAGAATGGTTTTACCGGCACTTGTAGAGCATCGTATTTTTTCTCGGGAAATTGACGATATTTAGCCTTTCTTAGACAGATTTTAGAATCTAATCCCAGTAGTGCTCCCTATGTCCACATGTCCTCCTAAGGTATACTCAGTCCCCAAGAACACAGCACACCCAAGCCTCCAGACGATGAAGATTTGTTACTCACGAGCAAAGTCCGCGAACTCTGACTATCGCCCTCCAAAAATAAATGCGAGTGACATGTCGTTTTGTTGAGGTTTATAGACCTACGCGATGCACGACATCTAGTTGATGTAGTACAGGAAAGGACCCTTGAGGAGTACTTCATGGTGGCGTATGGCGTCTGCGTCTGCAAGAATTTCCGGGTTCTGTTTGATCTTATCTAACAAAGTAGGGTTATTTCTTGTCGGCTTATATTATTCTAGACAAGCGTTAAAATAGGCAAAGACCCTTGCAAGATTGAAACATGGTGACAGCGGAGTCAGTCACGTGGTATCATTTTCAACCAGTGGATGCCGGTATATAACTTGTAATATAAAAGCCATCTAGTTCTTCCCGTGCATAGTATTGTACACAGACAAAGGCTCATGTTTCAAAAACAAATCAATAGTAAAAGAATGATGCAAGATGCACTCTCTCATCCCTTTCCTCCTAACCCCTTCGGATTTCTTGACACTTCAAGTTAGTTTTGCATTTGCCAAACATATTATTCTTCCAAAACACAGTACCTTCACTGTTCCTCCAACACAGAATGCATTAAAGGTCCAAGAGCCATACGAATCCATAGAAAGAATGGGGGTGCCATCCACGCTCGCATAAGTCGAACAACCGGCTGTTTACTCCGTAAGCGAGTCCAACTCAGGGGCACATTTTTTCGATCCCAACCTCCCAAATCCAGCAATAGCTTTTTCGATTCACGTAGTCAGCCCTTATAGTTTTGCTGGCAGGTTCAAATCAACCTCATTTCACTTCTACAAAATGCCTAAACGGCATTGTCGAATTGGCCAGGAACCGAAATGCACGAGGCCTGGTCGGCAGTAACCAAGTCGAATAAATTAGGATTGAGACAAGAGTAATAGCGGCATAGTTGCTTGCATCTTGCGCTCTATCCTGATTAGATTCCTGCGCATTAAAAGTTTATCCATTTCATTGCGAGACATATCTCAAGGCATCAGCATTCTTATACTTTGTATGTTTTATATTGTTAATTTAGTTTTTTGTAACAAGTCTAAAAGAGAGAGAAAAACTCAAGTCTCGCAACGCAGAGTCACTACACTAGTTCCCACCATCTTGAGATGTACCTTATCTCACATTACAAATCTGGATTCGAAAAGAGCAAAGTCATGTGCCCTGCGATAACGTGTTATATAACTACCTTGAAGATGCTGGAGTTAAAATTGAGAAAGACAGAAGGAGCATACAGGTACTTCAAAGATAAGAGGGGGTACTATAGCTAACTTTGCACCTTGACTTTTGATTCCATATTGAGTCTTAGGAACGGGGAAGTGACATGGATAAGTTTATTTTTGAAACAAGGATAGCATTATTTGTATATCTGGAGTAATAATAAGGTACGCAAGGAAACAATAATGGTATTGGTATCTTCAAAAGCAACGAAAACGCATGCATGCAAAATGGTATATGAACGGCCATAGAAAGAGAAGAAAAAGAACACCAGGCGTGCATTACCCACCCATCACCATCCCTCATAGATGCATAATCCATAATCCATAATCCATAACCCCATTCCCCCATCCTCCCATATCTTCTCCCTCTACACCACACCCCATCTAAACAGCAGCCCTCCCCGTCCACCTACTCCTCCCGCCCCTACTCCTTGCCCAAAACACCGCCATGCCCACCGCGCTAAACAGCCACAACAGCGCATTAACCAAATCAACCCACACCGCGTTCTTCATGCGCTGCACGCCCCCATCCCCCTCAGCACGCTCATGGATATACATATTGCCAAACACGCCAAACAAGGCAATCCAGAGGATAAACAGGATCGTGTCCCAGATGAAGAGGAGCCCGATGCGCGAGACGAAGGGGATGAGGTAGAGGAGCGCCGTGACGGCTGAGAGGGAGGCGGTCACTTCTGCGTAGACCTGAGAAGAGTGACTTGTTAGTAAAATGACTACTTGAGCAGGAAAAAAGAAAGACAAACCCATTTCCCGTCGCTGTATTTATGCTCCTTATTGGCCGCATGCAGATCAACACCGTAGAGACCACAGACCGTGAGGGCGAGGACCAGTTGGATGAAGCGGAAGACAGAGTGTGCGATATAGGAGAGGCCCATTTCGACACCTCCAAGGAGTCCCATTTTAGCTGCTTGCTCAAGGTATTCCTATCGTTGTACGAGGTGCTCCGTAATTATTTCTCGTCGCTTTCGATGTCGCTGTAGATGTATTCCAATTGTTTCTGCAAAGGTCGCGCGATCGTTTGTTGGCGCGAGGTATATAGGTAGTTAACTGTATGTGATTGACAGGAATGCTGTTACTGTATCACAATACACGTCGTCGGTGTGGACTGAATCACAAAAGCAGGCCAGACCGTGGGTAAGGTGTGGCAGATAAACATTCACGCGCGTGTAAGGATACTAAGGAAGGCACCTTCCCAGATACTCACTCCTATGACGCTGCGCGAGGTGCACGCCGTGCCAAGAACCGCATTCAATGTCCAATCCTTTTCAGGTTGTTGGCGCCGAGAACAATACAGTACTCCTTCGCGTAGGACGTGGAAATGAGGGCGGTCGCTGTCGTCGCAAACCAGGATAATGGCGCCCTATGACGAAATATGCTACAGGGTGTGCTAGGACCCTGGATTTCGATAGTGGGGTGGGGGCGTGCTTTGACACGAGCCGGGAATAGTGAGGCATCACCGCTTTCTTGAAATGCAATGCTTCAAAATTGTTACTTCGGTATGTGGGGTTTGAACCTTTAATTTAGTTCATGTCACGAGTGTAAGTGAAAAGTACCCGAAGTTTAATAGTGTCTACGCTTTCCAGAAGTTATGGTTATAATGCGGGCAATATTAATATTCGAGATGTGTATGGATGATCCAGCTCTTGAAGCCCTCGCATATATCAGTTACTACCTATTGTTGGCAGATCTCTCCTCGTCCTTAACTATAACCCCCCCCCCCGAATGTTCTCCAAGTCTGTACGCACGAGAGAAAAGCATTCGCCATCCTCTGACCATTTCACCTCCCACCCCCCAAGTCTCCCTCGACTGTCAGATTGCCCGTTCTGTTAATTGCCAGTCTACCTAAACTCCTCCTCGGCATGGTTTCGCCTTGTATCAGCTCTCGGTTGACACCTTCTCTTCCCACATCGAAGTCTCCTACCCAGAGATGGACCCATCCTTTACATTTATCGTGTCCATGATACAATGATCCAGTTATCCAACGCCCATATCCTTTTCGCTACCTCGCCTATCAAATGGTGGCCCTCTTCAACCAGTAACTCGATAGTGTTCTCGTCTTGAATAGTATTGCAATGAACTCCTTACAGCCAAATGTGTCTTTCAGCCTTAGAGGTTGGGCCATGCCTTCTTTCCCTTTATTGTTGATCAAGTTCTGCCGCGGAAATGACGAGTGCTACCGGCCAAGTCGAGCTCTGCAGAGTCAGGGCAGTTGCCAAGTCCATTAGTATGTAAGTAGTGAGGAACGAGAAACTGATTAGGACAAAGATTCCTCATGTATGCCGTGGACCGTGGTTTGAGACAAAAGATATAGAACTTTCCAGAGCATCAACAGTAAGGGAAAACTCGCCTTGAAGTCCGCAGAGATTGCCAATGATCTCTAGTGCTTTATAGAACCTGTAATGCTTTCTTCAAAACTTCAAAATGTCAAGCTGGAAAGTACTGGCAGCAATGAAAGTCTTCGACATATTTATTCCATCTCTAAGCTGTATATAGATGCGCAATGGCGAGAAGTTGCCATTTGCATTCAAAGAGAGATGCGCATCAACATCTTTCAAATAACCTTTTGCCATAGCATGCCAATATATCTCACTCCCTATCAGTATTCAAGCTTCAAATGATGCAAGAGGCAAGAAGATATTGCAGCCTTACAATTCGTTGTATTCGTGAAAATGAGACGCGCTCTGGCAGAGAGAATACGAGAGACAAGCCACGGTAGTGGTGGGCATGCGGGTAATGCTTCGAGGATGGGATTATAAGGGCGAGGAAGTAATGAGGAGGTTGAGGATTCAGATGGCTAAAAACCGGAATGGATATGGGAACAGCGATGTGCGTACGTGAAAGGGAAGTATCTTACTGGAAATAGAGATTAGGTGGATGTGGATGTGGAATGTTCTGCTGATGTATTGAGGTATATTAATGCCCTAGGATGCGGTAGGTCATGCTGGACGGTATTTGGGAGAGAACCGTATAGTCTACAAGGTCTCTGGAATCCGGACCTGGTGTAAATGGGATGCAGTAACTAACTCCCCAAGACAGGACTTTGTTTTGAGTTATGAGAAGAGGCCTTGTACTTGCAAGAGTTAAAGAACTGCGCTCTGGGTTGAAAATGTTAGAACCTCGAAAGAGAACCAGGCCCGACAGGTCTCAGATGGCGATATAATATTTCCGATCGATGTTGTATCATCTCGATTCTCGAAGCTTGAAGGAATATTAGGGTCGAGTATGTTGTGTTGCAACTCTTCCCGGGATTACTCAAACACAGCGAAGCAACTGATCCCCAGAATGCAGACTCTTGCGGACCAAAGATCACCATGAAAAGCGGGTAGTTTGGCTCGCGAGGCCCAGGCTGGCAGCTGTTGACTGGTTGTCTCATTAAAGATCGAGATCACCAGAAAGGAACCATCTTGGCTCCCAGCGTTATGTGGTGATTTAAGGAGCGAGTTCTTCAGTCACCGCTTAGAAGTGGTAGCATAGGGGTTTCGGCACTTAAAGTCTGAAGACATTGATGAAGATCATCCGCTTGACAAAGGTCTCGCGCCACTAGAAATGAAGGCAGTACGGTGATCTTGTGATACTATCCATCGAAGGACTTTTTTTGAAACAAGCCGGCGCAAATAGGAAGACATGGAAGCAGTTGAGATGCATTAGTGCCCGATTCGAAGCCGGGTAAATGTGGTTGTACCAAGCACCGGGGAGGGGGCACTTGAGAGGTATGCAACAACGCCTTCAACAGACAGGATAGGAACCTATGGAATGAAGAGGTCGCATAAGACAAGTACTGCGGGAAAGAGGTTTGGTGTAGAAGATTTGCATACCACCACTATGGAGGTCAGGGGGGCACGATTAGATCCTCATACTCACCCTCCAACTGTGGAGCTCTTGGGGAAAATTACGAGGTAACATATACGAAGTACCACGTTGGCGCTATAATAGAATTGATGGTGTCTTGCAAATGATCATCAAGTCCCTCGAGATTCTGATGGGAATAGCCTTCAACTCGTAAACCCGTAATCGTATTACTTCCCGCACCAAGTTCCGTTTGCGGCAGGCAGTTGCATGTACCTCGTCCGCATGAACTTAACTTTCGCCGTGGAATTCTAACAACGAACTTCATTAATAGCATCACATATGAGTCAAAAGATTCGGAATCGGATGCCCACTTGGGAAAATTTACAAAGTGAACAAAAATTCAAACGTCGCGAAAGATGCCACCAAATTGCCATCCCGGAAAGTTGGAGTGGGGACTTTGAGATCTGCGGTTAATAGCGAGCCTGAAACTGAAGACGCTCCGCCCCGCGCCTAAGAGAAGGAGATCTACAGACAATCGTTGTGTCATTGCCATGCACGCTGGTAAAAAACGTTACTCGTAAATCGGTAAGACGGGTGGTTTCATTGGAGAATGCTAGAAAGAATGAAGAAATTCATGCAGCGAGTTCGGGCTTGCATATGTTTGGGGGAGGAATGATGATGAAGTACAGGAAGGGTAAGGAGTAGCGGTGCAAGGCAAGTGCAAGTGCAAGGCAGAGAAGTTTCCACGTTTGACGGGCAGGGAACAAATGGATGGATAATGAACTGCATTTCGAGGTGGGTCGCCTTTGTATAGAGGGGGCAAGAATCTGCGAAGAGTGGATGCAGGGCTTATCTAAGAGGCTGCCCGTGATAGCAAGGTGTCTCATCGATCTTACAGCTTTAGAGGGAGATCTAAATATATATAGTAATAGGACGGGGTGTCATAAACTTAAGGCGAAAGAAAGAACGGCTTGTGTTGTTCAAAGCAAAGCAAAGAACACAAGTACAGTAAACTTGGAGGAAAGAGTCGACCTTCCTCTGCGCATCTTGCAGATCTCATCTCATCTAATCTAATCTCGTCACATTATTCATACTGTACGTACAGTACTGTACTGCACTGCACTGCACTGCACTGCACCGCGCCGCATCGCATCTCACTCCTCATTGAGTCAGAGCCGCCAGCCCACAATGGAAGTGACGACGATACTCCATATAATAATATAAAAATACCCGACGAGACGAGACAAGACGGGACCAGATAAAGAAATAGCTGCGGCGACAACGCAACAGATACCCAAGACCCCTAAAAAGCGGGAGCTACTACTAGAGTACGAGTACACGGCGCGGAAGCGAAAGAGACCTTAATTATTCAGTCATATCCACCGAAAATAATTCTTGAAGAAAGAACGAACATGCTTCTTACTTCTTGCTTCTTTGTCACCTTGATGTCATCTACTGAATCCGCCCAACAACTTTAATCGTCTAGACGAAATCGAACTCACTTAGGTACCTACCTAGGTAACTCCTCTTTGGAGATATCCCTCAGCAACCGCAACAACACAACAAACACACACACACACTTCGACTTCACTCCAGCCATTCTTGTATTTCGCGTTCCACTATCTGTAGGCATTCGTAGGTACGTACCTACGACTCAGGCTACACCGACCGCCCAACCCAACCTGCAATTCGGCACGAGATCCGAATCCCAGCGGCCACTTCAGGCTTAAACCACAAGCCCACCAGCCCACCAGCCAGCCGTCCGGACAGTGCCTCCGGGTGGGGTCGCCAATCTCAAGACGGGCATCATCAGCAATCACGAGCCCTAGTAATCTTCCTACAGTACGAACCACCAGACACCAGTCCAGTCCCCAAACCCATCCACTCCACTCATCTACAGTAGCATGGCCAGTCGCTCTCTCAAGCCAGCGTCATATCTGGCCTCCGCAGCACAGCAGACACCAAGCCGGAGCCCACGTCCATCCTTTGCTCGTACCAGCTCAGCATCGTCGAATGTCTCCTCCAAAAGCGACGACTCCTTTGGCACGTCGCTACGAACAATGAACACAGGCTCAACTGCCGAAGGGAATACGGCGCCTGTGAAGGACCATGTCAGTAAATCTGGCAGCGCTTCATCTCCGTGCATCGTCGCTCTTGGTAAGTGAAAGAAAGTGCAAGTGAAAGTTAAGGCAGTGAAAGTGCAAGCCAAGCCAAGGCAGTGAACACGAATAGTGGGGTTGTGCATGATTCGCCCTGTTCACCAGGTTCATGACGGGAAAGGCTTGCGCTACCACCGCCGCCACATACGCCAGTCCTTGCTTGCTGGCACCTTGGCTTCGGGAACACTGGCTGATACTTTACTCTTCTACCTAGGCAGTCCTGTGTCACGACCACAGAAGTTCGAAGATACAAGTACTCCGTCGAGGCAGAGAAGCAAGCCCATCGCTATAGAAATGCCACTAAGAAACGTGCCTTCTGCATACACACCCTTGACCGGACGAGGTGATCATAGAAAGTACGTACCTACTCAACAAGGGTACCGCCTTAACAACACTCTCCACGGAAGAAAAAATTGGCGGAATAGACAAGCCAGTTTTGGTGCATCTATTCCGCCACTTTTTTCTTCCGTGGAGAGCAACAGTCCTCGGCTTTAGATAAGGTCGCCGTCAGTGTCCACAAGTGCTAATTACTGACTCGATATTTTGATAGGGGTTACTTTCCAGATCACGACGATTTCTCAAAGACCTACAAAGAACACCACTACGGCTTCTCAAGAAGCTCAACTCCTGGCTCTCCTTCGAACATGTCGGCTTCGTCATCCGTCATGTCCTCCCCCGGCTCAGAGATCACACCCAGGGCTGCCACTTCGGTCCCCTTCGATTTAGTCCAGCCCACTGCTTCAGCAACTATCGATTCTCTTGGTATACCAGCTGGCAAATATTACCCTTCAAACTACAATTCGCCCGCAACTACTAGAGTATCTACTCCAACTTCCGCCGCCGCTCCTCTCCTTCCAACAAACTTGACCCTCCCGTCAGACACTGACAAAAGGTCCAAGAGACAAAAGTCATCCGGACATGAGAGAAACAGCAGCGATGTGAAGAGAAAGCTACAACAATATCAACGAGACATGATCGTCCAAGCTAGACAGGCAAAGTCACGTACCGGGGGTAAAGGTCTTGGATTCCATATCCAAATGCCTAAACCGGACAGTCCAAAGTTAATGCCAGCTGGAAGTCCAGGACCCATCACGCCTTTTGAGCTCGAAGAATGTGATGAATATCTCACTTCAGTCACGAGAGGCAGAGGGGATACCTCGATCAGCAGTGGCTTTTAACAAGATAAAAACCATATCAACCAGATGATCAGCAAGGAGAATTCGAGGGCCGCCGAGATTGGACACCCGAGATCCTTGAACTAAATATGTTCCCTCACTTTCGGAAGGATCTCGCTGGCCGAAACCTATCCACAGTCATATCACCATATGGTGAGATATCATGGGCATTAGGAGAGATGGTAGAGACCCTTGACGGCGACTCCCACATCGAAATATCCCTCAACATAGACACCCAACGCCACCAACTCGAATACAGCATCATCACTCAACCAAGATTTCCTTTGCTTCCAATTCGTATTATTTAATTTACGGCCTCCCGAAAATACCCCTTTCAGAAGAATGATAAAGAGCTAGCTAGCAATTCCGAATGGATACGGACTTGATCATGGACCAAACCAAGTGCTGGTTGGCTTCATCCCTCACTCGCTGGCGTTAAGGGTTCCTTTGTTTTGTTTTTGGCCCATGGATGGTAGATTGGGTCCTGGATATGGATAGTCCGAAAACTTCAAGCTCTTTAGTTTTGTTGGAGATGCCATAGATTGCGGAACGAATTAACTTGACTTAACTTACTTGCTTTCAGTGATTTTTCCATGACCAAAGAATTGATTTCTGTTTTTCTTCCGCTGCAGCAGCTAAACAGCTTCATCTTGGAGTATTTATTTCCTGTTCCAATCATCTCTGCTATTGCGATCTTCCAGCTAATTGGAATCACGTCAGCTTAGTTCCAGTAATGACATGCTCGTCATCTGATATAACGAGATTTATTCCTTTTCGCGAACCCCTCATTGTTTCCAATTCATTTGCTTCGAGTCCTTATCCAGGTGCAGAATTTCGCAATACGTGAGGGCGAATTGACACTTTATCTTCGACTAGTTTACAAATTACTCCCCCATATATATATACCCAAAGTATCTTATCGAGTATAAGTGGGGAATATCAAATCAGAGTTGTTGTGAAGAAGTGGGGCTACAGAGGGATGAGAGTCACGTGAACTTGGGCTGCAGCTTCTCTGTGACAGCTCTTTTAAAAGGGGCTTCTGCTGCTGTATCTTAGAACTATATCTTCTACACGCTCACTTAAACACACTATGGTTTTAACATATATGGTTTTATCATGATGATACTGAAAGTCAGATCCTAGGCCAGAGTTCGCGGTTGTGTTGTTTGTTCCCTCCATAGTAGCCTAAAGGGAGTATGAGTATTCTCCTAGCTTATTCCCACTGACTAGTCTATTATACCATGATGGAATGGACTTCGATATGTGCAGTACCTTGAAGTATCAATAAAATGTGCAGTTGAAGCTGACAAACACAACATAGTAACTGCGTCCAGTCTATATGCAGCAGAAATCTGACATAAGACTCAGCCTGCAAATTCCCCAACTCACGCCTCATTGGAAGAGTAAGGGATCGCTGGTCCAAAGAGCTCATTGGCATTTGGCAAAACAATAAGCTTATTATGATAATTCGCCAATAGCTTCCAAAGCTGAAAGAAATAAGCTATCCATGATTTTCATTTCTGGCTTAGTAGAGACAAAGGAAGCTTAAGGATAGCGATCCTTTTTCTTACGCTAGATACGGTTGATTATCAAAGGTCTGTCAAACAAAGACTCTGCTTTTCTTTACTATGTAGCTATATTTAGCTTACTATTTCAAGGATCTCCATCTTATCGCTTGGCTGCTCTTACTTAAAGCTACAGCTTGATTTAGGCAAGAAGAATAGACGTCTTATGGAATTCCATATCATGTTATGAAGAATTATAAGCTAGCTAGTCTAAGTAGCTTTCTCATATTCAAGATTCTTTCTACCGATTTGTTGCAATTCGCATTTTCGAAACAACTTCCACCTATTCACTTTGGCTGATACTATATACAAAATCGGAATTTTGTTGCATATCGCATTTTCGAAGACACTTACACGTATTCACTTTATACTTATGATCAGTCTTGTTTAGGAAACTAGGATTTTGTTGCATGTCGTATTTTGAGATATACTTCCACTCATTCACAATGAACCTCAATTGGGCACTTTTTCCGGATTTAGTAATTGCAGATGTTTTTATTGCAAATCGGATATTTCAAAATACGACGACACATTCAATTCAGCGTGTTCATCACTTTCACATATCTATCTAGTGATTGATTTTATGATGTGGTATAAGTTTTGTTGCAAGTCGCAGGTCTTTAACAAGTCTATAGTGAATACGGCTTCAAGTTTTTTTTGTTATTAGGTACTTAATCTAAAAGTCTCGTTCAACTGGAACATTAGATTGTCTCATCCAGTAAATTTCTGTCACGATGACTTTGTATTAGGCCATGTCGCCCTCCTTCTCGCTTAATGCCCCTATCTCTCCTATTGTCCTTGATTACTGTTGCGGGGGTTCACAATTTTCCTGTCAAACAAAATAAATTGAAGCTGACCAACGGCACATGAATACATATTATCCATCTAATATAAGCACGCCATCTGTGAATTGGGTAGTCTCGACCAGTCGATATCCTTCCGCCGTGAGTAAAATTGCCCCTAAACCCAATTGAGTAACAAGCTCTAGGTTGTGTCTCGGAGCTGCTTCTTTCTTTACGTCTATAAAAGACAGCCCTATCTAGTATTTTACCAAAAATGTACCACAGCGCAGAATCAGGAATTTCTATTACATAACAAGACTTCGATATTTGATACAGCTCTATAAAAACAATTCTGAGCAAAGCAAGAATACGCGCCATTCAACATGCCCACAACGCGGTTTTCCGCTGCTTTACAGAGTAAATTTTCTACCACTTCTTCCACTAGTCTTCCGATAGACATAAAACATCATCCTTATGCTCCACATGTTGCATATCGAACAAGATGCTGCAACTTAGGAGACCCCGATTTACTTCAGAAAGCCCTAAGTCTTCCTGGGGGCGAAAAGGGCGAAATCACCGGTAAAGATCTCACTCCCGTTGAGGTTCTCTCACTTCTCAGAATCGATCGACTTCAGCGCCAGTACTACGCTAGTACGATATACTGTCCTCGCGGCATGTTTCGGCCTGGCAATGAGCGCTTTGTGTTTCTGGACGACGCTATCCTCGAAGAAGCGGGAGTCCCTCGAGAGATGTTATTCCGCGCATGCAGCACGATAGGAGAGATATATCGGATGCAGGCTGGAGACAACGGTGTTTAGAAGACAGGGCGATTCTGGAAGGTACTTGGTATGGTGAAGGGCAATATGCGCGGCGAAGTATCACGGGAGGTGTAACTGATGAGGAGACACCACCGGCTTGGATTGCGAAGGAAATGGGATGGAGTAGGAGAAAATCGAGTGCTGTTCCTGTGTCGCCGGTGGTGAACAAGGAAGCTAAGAAGACCAAGAGCATCAAAGTCGCCGGGAAAGTCATTTGTAGGAAAATGTCAAGACCCAACATTCATAAATCAACTGTCATGACTCGGAAGCGAAATGTCCGGAATAGAAAGTCCTCGTCTACTACAGCATCTTCACATTCACATCTAGCCTCCTCGCCCATCGCACCTTCTTCATTCGAGCAGCCTTCGGTTTCTCCCACTTCCTTTACTTGGTCCTCCATTGACGCAACTCCAGAGCTATCCCGGCAGCAATCTACTTTATCTTTATCCTTTACTACAAGAGCATCTTTACGTTCATCAGAGAACCCCTCAAGCAGCACGATGGCTTCACCCGAAGCCACCCCCAGCGAATCTCCGAAGCATTCCCAGATGAACAAGGCATGGGAAGCAAAAGTGCTCGGCATCCAAAATCAATCCGAGGACGAAAGCGAAGATGAGACTCCCGATAGCGAAGTCTCGAGCAAGCACTACACACCCAATACCGCCAGCGAAGCATCTCCCTCGCCCAGCGACACTAGCAGTACACGCAGGTTGACCAAACAATGGGATGCAACCATGTTAGACATGAAATACGGATCAGAGGACATCAAATACGACCCAGAGGACGAAGACGAAGACGATGTCGAGTCTGACAATAGCCAAGTCATCAGCAAACGCCACCTGTATCCCGGTGCCGCCATCAGACGCCACTTCCCCCAGGACTTCCCCAAGGCCAGCACTCAGACCAGCCCTCTCCCATCAATCAACGCTCTCGAAAACTTCCCAGTCCGATGGAGCATCCGAATGCTCGCAGACGGCACAGCTGCATCCGAGGCAGTCGCACAGTCCCCACAAAAACCATCACAGTCTCCAGCAGTCAATACTCCATGGTTGACGTGCAAAATGCCATTATGGAGGAATTCGAATTTGGGGGTTATTCCAATCTAGAGGTGGAGATTCGTGTTCTGCGCCTCAGGATGCTTGGTAGGGAGGGCAGGTGGAATAGGGAAGATGTCACGGAAGAGAACTTTGATGCCAAGATCAGACCCCTTCTTGATGAGGCTGGGAAGCGCAATCATTATGGTCAGACGATGTATCTCGAGTTTGGCATTTAAGGTAATGTTATTGATACTTAACGTGAATCGAAGACGCTGGGGCAAATAAGGGTCGAGCGATCATTTTTCATTTTGTTGTACTTGCGAAAGGGTCGACGATGATTGGATGGGTTTCTTTGAGTTGGATAAACCAATGGACATATTTTGCGGTTTTTTGGTATGTGGTGTTTCTCTTTGATTGATGAGACAACGAGGAATGGGCATGTCTACGACGAGCATTTCTTATTTTGGTGTCCTTGGACGGCAAAGGCGTTCGGCGTGATTCCTATCAGCAATTAGGTATCTTCGGCCTTGGATTTTGTACCTGAAAAGGATATAGCCGGGGAAGTAGAAGTAACTCTGCATCACTACATATCTATCCCCTAAGAATTAAAAAAACTTTTGAGAACACGTTCAAATCTCAACGCTATTAGTGCGTGTACACAAAATAATCATGTAACAAAGTTTTAGAACCACACGATGAGTGGAGGAGTGGGGATATAGACGTGGTACCTTAAGAGACGGGGTCGGGCTGAAGGGGCTGTCCCATTGTGTGGGGCAAGGAAACAAGAGTATAGTATTAAGAGAGGTTTATAGCGACTAGCTCATCAATTTCGTCCTTTGCGCAAGAAATAATGTCCGTGAACAAGATTTTTGTCTTCACAAATAACTTGGCCTGAAATTATAGAAGGGGGACTGAGCACACATGAATTCAATTATTTCTATGAAGGTGTTTTTGTGACCTTTACCCGCTTTAGGCCGTTAGGAAATCGCATCTCCCTGATGGATTCAGGTTGCAAATTATCGCTAATTTTTCCTGGCATTGCATTACTCACCGAATACTCCTCTCCAATCTCGGCATACATGTTCCCACATCAGGAGGCCTTCCGCTCCGCGGCCACGTACGTATCATCGGAGCGGTCGCTGCTATTGGTAATTGGGTCGCTTCTTGGGGGCTCGGAACTTGATCCATCGGGCGCAACTGCACGTGTGAGTGTGTCGGCCTCGGGATCTGGGGTGATGTTTTCGTATTCCAGACTTTTGACCAACTTGTACAACGCTGCTGCCAATAGAGATCCAGCGCACGGAGCAATCCAGTATATCCAGTGATAACTGGGAAAGCTTTTCACAACGACCGATGGTCCTAGCGAACGTGCTGGATTGAGTGAGCCTCCGGTCCAAAAGACGCCTATTTCTGTTAACATTCCGTCTTCGAGGCTGTAAAGAACAAGAGGTGACTTGCCGGTAAGCTCAGCGATGAACAAGGCAAGCCCGATACCGACAGGAGCAATAAAGGTTCCTGCGTGCTTCTCTGCCGCAAGCATGAAGATTGTAAACACCAGTTGGGCGGTGAGGATCACCTCAATAAAGAAACCCTGTACCACTGAAGTCGTAGCGCTGAGTGTCGTGCTAACATTCAGACCACCGGAGAACAGAGCTTTGACTAAAGCTGCCGCAACGATGGCACCGAGACATTGGACAACGCTCAGAAGAATTGCTCGTGCAACCGTAATAGATCCGATGAGCCACATTCCGAAAGTGACCTGTAGAATGTTAGAATAAGTGTTGGCAGGGATATTGAAGGCTCACGGCTGGGTTGAATAGACCGCCACTGATTCTGAAGAAGACCCATGCATTGACTGCTAATGAGAAACCAAAACTCAAACTGATGTACAATAATTGAGCGGGGTTTTTCTGTTCCACGGTCGTCGTGATTTGGGAACCAGTGTTTGTATTCGAAGAGATGTTTGCAACCTGCGTCCCCGCAAATGCGAAGAAGAGGAAGAAAATTGTGCCGGCAAATTCACCAATTGCAGCAACAATATGACCTCGAGAATTAGCGGGTACTTTGGCTAATATTGTGTTTGCCCATGTTTTAGGAGAAGGACGTCCGCCTTTAGAAAGGTTAGTAAGAGTCTTTCCTAGCCCGTGTCGGCCGGGAAGTGAGATATTCATATTGGAGAGACTTTATTGTATAAAAGCCGAATTTAAAGGAGAAGAGAATTGAGACTCAATGAGATCTGGGCTTACCGAGAGATAATATGTATTGCACAAGCGTAGAACTCTAAGATGGCTTCTATGACGAGGTTGTTTCTTGTCTCGCGTTTGCGTTGGGGAACGTTCACGTTTAGGTAGCTGCGATCGTCCGCTACTGTCATGTCGCGCCTCGATGTGGCTTACAGACTTAAACATTTGGACGTTTCCGCACCCTTTTAGTTTTGTACCAAAACTTAGACAGAATATAGCGCACCCCTATACGCGGAAAACAGGGAATTTGGGGGAGAGTGCTTCGAAAAGGAGTGACAGAGGATGAATTTGATCGGAATCGATGACTATTGTTTGTTGACTATACTTTAGTCGTCGTAGATTCACACGCTGTTTATGGACAAAATTGAAAACTTGTTCCTGATAAGGACAATGACCATTGACCCCTCCCCCACCAATCAATCCCGTGGAGGGGCACATTCCCCGAGAGGCTGAAAGCTCTTTTTCATCGTCCACCGTGTTCTGAGACGACGGGCTCGCCAGTGTCTGTGAACCAGTATGGAATATGTTAAAAAATGATTCGTCACTTGACATCAATCCGCAAAAAAGTAAACGGCAATGGCATTCGGAAGGGCAGTTATCCATGTGCAAGCGTCGAATTCAAGAGGGGAGAAGACTGGTGAGCCGTGGTTGTGGCGTGGCGAGTCTGGTCTGGCTCTACGTAGGAGAAAAAGTATGCGGGATGAAGTCACGTGTATGCGCCAAAACTCGCTAGGTCTGGTCTGGCTGAATTCTAAGCGGCGCTGACTAAGCGATCAGTAAGTGGAGTGGCACACGGACCGTGAATATGACCGTGGACTGCCGCTGAACCCCGGATTAGAGGCAATCCATTTGAAACACTGAAAGAATGACTAGATCTGATAGATAACTCACTTAATAATCGTTCGTGAATGTTCATGAAATACGAGTATAATTAACAAGCCTAGAGATATGTGAAATGCCCAATATAAGTTAGTTTACGAGTAGGTCATTTCTTTTCGTCGTCTTCTCTTGCGTGCTTGCGCGTCGCGATTTCCTCACGCTTTGAAAAACACGACCACAACACTTTTACCACATTCAATATGCCGCTTCAAGTCTCAACCGAGTCCCCGTCCGCTATTGCCCAGTCTCTTGACTCAACGAGCTCCCAGCCTTCATTCTTGGTCGTCTACGCTTCGCATGTCAACGGAAGGTCCTGGTGCGGCGACTGTAGGGATGCTGAGCCGTTGGTCGATGCGAAGTTTGCGGACAGAGGAGAGGTCGTGAAGGTGGTTTATGCCGGACAGCAGGATGAGTAAGCCACCTTTCTGTGCACAGGGACAATCACTTGAGAGCGAAGAGAGGAGTGATTATTCACCCGAAAGGGTTTATCGAACTGACTCAGAGTCACAGATGGCGCAAGGCAGAGAATCCATGGAAGCAAGCACCATTCTCAGTGACGAATTTACCTACGATTATCAAGGTCACGGGAAATGTAAGTGTAAAGCTACGGAGGCAAGGCGTAGAAGTATGCTAACGCAAACATAGAAATGGGAGAGATTGGTGGAAGAGGATGTGTATAATCAGAAGAAGTTGGATGCTTTCGTCGGCCCAAACACAAAGCACGCGCAACAACATCTTTGAGGCAAAAGTGGGGCGTAAGGATCGGACGCGCTATAGACAGCTTTCACATAGGGGCTTGAAGGGAACAAGAAGAGTGTTAACACACAAAATAGAACGCAAATCTCATTTAATTCTATCCCAAAGTCAAGTTTTTGGTTTTGTCCGTCAACTTGTCAATCTCCCCATGCCATTTCTTGGACTGCTTGGGGGTGACGCAGCATTGCGGGCAGAGACCCGGTCTCAATTCCTCAAAGCAGGACGAGCTGCAAGACGCGCCGGTACCGCGATGCGTTGGGCAGAGTATGAAGACATGCACTACACGGTGGTTGCAGATCTCGTAGCAGGCTGCCAGCGAGTGTGGCATGATGATTCTTTCTCTTTTTGTTGGAGTATAGCAGATATATAAATAATTTGTGGTGCCGGCACCTTTTGAGGGGGTTTGATGGTTACTTCATGGAAGAGAAGTCTTTGGGATTTGTGCAAGGTCATTGTGGTGGCAAGTGCTGCTTAAGTATCAGGGAGTAGCTTTGATGTGTATTTATGGTGGTTCTGATAAAGAAAGTATAAAGGGTTACTTACTGTTGTGATCTTGTGCAAGAGAATAAGAGGAATGTTCTTGCGCCTTGTCAATGCAGCGTCTGGACCAAAGATGCAGCAAAGCATTGTTATTCTCGAGGAATCACCAACAAAGCATACCTATGTTAGTATTCATAGGTTCTTTTGTGTCTCAAAGAAGGTCGTGAATATAAAGAGGTTGTTAATGTTATTATTAAGTGAACAATGCGTCATTGCTATATATTTTCTGAGGTCCGTATTTCGCAACCCTGCCCCAATATCCTAGAAATACAATAACACATCTTTCAACTACAAATTTTCTTTCTTATAGACGTACCAAAAGAAACAACAACGCCACATCATGTCAAGAAATCACGACGAATACCGATCAAAAAGATCAAACCCCACAGCTGGGGTTGGTGAGATGCCAAAAATATACCCACCTACAGAAGAACCGTTCGGCAGTTCATATCATCGCTCATCTGCTGGCTCAGGTGGCTACTATAGCTCTAGCTATGATCCTAAACATACCCCACCACCACGGCCATCCCATCCACCAAGACCACAACATCGATCATCTTTTAACGAACTGACGTACACTTATGATGACGAAGAGCCTGAAACTATTGACATTGCACCAGCGGCGTGGAATGGCTACAAGAAAAGCGCTACACGAGAAGAATTGAAGAAGTACTTCATAGGGAGGGGAATGGATAAGGAGACAGTCGAGAGCGAACTTAACAAGGAATTCGAAGCTCGCGCACCAAAATATAAGAGTGGGTATTCCGAATCCAGGACCGCAGAACCCGAGCCAGAATCCAGAAGACCCCATCGGTCAGAACATGAACCATCGTCGAGCAAACCCGAGTCTACTCGCAAGGAGCCGCCGATACGCTCAAAAGAATATGGCGTCAAATTCTATATGGATAAATATGGTTACAGCAGAGAAGAAGCGGAAGATCTCGTGAGGCTCAACGAGAAGAGGGCCAGAGACAAAGGTGAAGGGGCTGGAGATTCCAGTAAACCCAAGGAGAGGAAACACAATGAACCTTCATCAAGAACGCGATCGAGCAGATCTGAGTCTACTCCCAAAGAGCCGAGTCGTTCAAAAGAACCTGAAACCACAATCTATGTCATTGTGGATAAACATAGTTACGGCAAAGGCGACGCAGAAGCAAAGAAGGCTAAAGACAAAGGCAAAGCGACTGAAAATTCCCGCAGACCCAAAGAGAGGAAACATGACGAATCTTCAGCAAGGCAGCGTTCTGACTCTAAAGAGCCGACACGCTCAATATTTCCCCACACTTTCTCCCCCCACGAGAAACTTGCTTCTAGCGAGTCTTCTGCCCCCTCCCGATCCTATCTCCTCGACCACGCAAAAGCATACCGGAATGTTAAAATCTCCCCAGAGGAGTGGAAGAGAGTCTGGATGAAACCGCATTTGGATAGAGGTAAGACGCGAGAGGAAGCCCACCGACGCGCCGAGAAGGATCTCATGGATGAGATGTGTAGGTTTTCGAAGAATAAGTTTATTGGTTCTGGATTGTTGGAGAAGGAGGCGGAGAGGAAGCTTGATAGGTTGTACTCGAGACCGCCGCGTCATGATGAGTATGATGTATAACTGACTCACTGGATCGAGGTTGGTTCGGGATATAGATAAGGGTTTGTTTCTGCCAGCGTAACTTGATCGACCATACGGGAAAAGGGCTTTTAGTAAACATATATGGTTTATAGATGTTTAAATAAGTATTATTCAATAATATAACACTATGATCAAACTTTAACTCATAAAAACGCAATATATAAAAATATTATAGATTATAGATTCTAGTTTAAAAAAATGTTGCAGCTTGGAGGCTAGACTAGACGTAACTATTTTCAAATTGTAACGTCTACTAGTGGAGACTTTTCACAGTAGATGTAAAGCGTTTGGTTGAATTTCACAAGATGAACAAGACGAACATCTATGTCGAGCAAACAAAAAGTAGATAACATAACCACTCAAAATTTACAGCACATTACCAAGGGGGATTGGCCCCATCATATTGGTTCGGCCCCTCCTTCTTCTCCGACCCTTCAACATGAATATTCAAAAACTGTCCATTCTGCTCCTTCCCCGCACCAATAATCTTGTCCAGAGTAGCCTTAGCGCCTACCTCAACAGGCAAATCCGCGTTTTGACTCCCGAGATCGGTTTTCAGCCACTGCGAGGAAATGTCAGCTTTCTAATATACATACATACACATTGAAAAGATTGGAGTTGGAGTTGGAGTTGGAGATGGACATACGCCTGGGCTAATAGCAAAGAAAGTGAAGCCTTCTTTCTGGTATCCGATGGCGTATTGAACGGTAAGGGAGTTCAAAGCAGTCTTCGTGACTTTGTAGGCTGGGGTAGGTCCAGCAGCATATTGGGGAGCCATGGCGATGGAGCCCAAGGTAGAGGTTCTGGATGTCGTAAGAATGGAGTAGAAAGTATGAGGGAGGCTCAATTGTCTTACATGTTTGCAACTTTTTTCAAGTTGCCTTTTTGGAGGAGTGGGAAGAACGCCTGGGTCACCCAATGGACACCGAGCACATTGGTGATAAATGTGTCATCGAGGTTATCCCTGGCATGCTTAGCTGAGATTTCTAAAGGAGGGTCAAATGGCCTGGACTTACATAGTGACAACTCCATTCGGAGACCATGGCATCGTTCCCGCATTATTGATCAGAACGTCCAATCCCCTGCCGAGCAAATTGGCATCTACTTCCTTTGCAGCTTCTTTAATAGTTGCTTCCTTTGAAACATCAAGTTCGACAACCACCAGTCGGCCAGCGGACTTCTGTGCAAGTTCATTAAGTCCAGGAGCATCAGCTCGTGTTGTTGCGAAGACTTTGTTGACTTGTGAAACCGGGAGGGAAAGAAGTTGACGGGTCATTTCAAACCCGAGACCACGGGAGGCGCCGGTGATCAGATATGAAGCCATTATGTAAGTATTCTTGAAGAATTGTGATGTGAAAGTGTTCTAAATGATGGAGGTAAAAGTTAGGTATAGACCTGCTATTTATATATGTAAGTGATGATGTAAATCTGATGTTTACAAAGCTCACTCAATAATTGGATGGGGAGCTTACAAATTTCAATCTTATCTCCGGGCCCTCCCACCTCACCTCCCTCACATCTACTCCGGAGTTACTCGCACGGTGTTAGAATAAATCCAGCACGCCTTCTCGAATATAACTATAACATCAATATCCCGCTAAATCTTAGAAAATCGTTGTTCCATGTTGGAATCCCTGCATTGCTTCAAAATCATAGTTTACACGGAAACAGGGTTGAACAGAATGCTGGAAAGTAACCATTTTCTACTTTCACAATAACAAAAGGTGAAATTTAGCGTTCGAGGAGCATGTTTGATTATATTCCTGATGTGAGGGATGAGAACGTACAGTCCTGTTCAAGGGATGTCATGCCTTTGATGGATGGGACTTGACGTGGCACTCACTAGTAGGTGTTCAAATTATGAATCGCACTCAACCGATAGATTTAAGTTTAGAAAAGATTCTAAAATAACATGTGTTCTGTAGCAAACTAGGGAGACCTTCCTGGGCTGACTTGAAAATGTTCCACTCGTAATGGACATTAGAAGACAATAGTATTTGCATATGCCCCTAACAAAGTCGCCCTAAACGTCTAAGAAAGAACTACTTCGACTGGCGTTGAAGAGTAAGCGGCGTCTGTGATCTAACAGTTGAGCAGCAACTTCTAGTCTACGATACTACTATGACTAATGGATGTTGGGAGAACTCGTAACAATATATTCGTGAATGTGAGACATGTAAGGGAAGCATGGTGAGTCAGGCAGAATAATCCGGAACACGTGAATCAGAGTGAGCCGCCGATGAGCGGACCAGAAATAACTTCATTCATCCGAATAATTGAATGTCGAGAAGGGATTAAAGATGTGATTGAATTGTATCCTACTAAATGACGTGCTGCATAGTCTCAATTACTTGGTTGCTTCCCATCAACAAAACCATTCATACTACACCAACAACTAACAACCAACAACCATTCATCTCTATCCTGGAATCACTTTTCGATTACATCCGGCCAGCGATAAGTTTAGCGTACCATTAGAATATAACACTTATTCCTAAGTGTCAGACAAGTCGAAACTTGGGTACGGAACGGGCCGGTACAGACCAACCACCCCGCCATCTACCTCGAGACATTTGGAAATAAGTTCCCAGAATGAGACCATTACAAGAAGAGCTATTTACCAAGTGGACAACAGGCGCACAATACGTCCGAAACCTCACGCCTGAAAGAATAATCGAACGAATGCCCCCCGCCATTCAACCTTCTGTGAAACGCGCTGTGGAGACGGCAGAATGGACGAAACAGAAGATCAAGAATATTACGGGTGGGGTTGTGGCCCATGAGGAGCAGCCAAGTTATGAACGTCGGAGCTCGTCGCCTGCTGTAAGCGATGTTTCAACGTCGTGTGATGGCGAGAATGAGATCTTCCCGGCGGTGGTGAGGGTTCCCCCTGCTAAGGAGAAGCAAGTGAAAGCGGATATCAAAGATGCGATGAAGAAGTCATTTGCTTCTCCGGTTGGTCCATTAATGAAGATAGGGGACCCAGAACAACCGAAATCCCGGAAGAAGAGTAGAAGAGGAGAGGATATTATTGTGAAGGAGATAATTAGAAATGTGGAGGCATGGAAGAGAGAGATATCGGCCGAAGATGAACAGCCGCGGAAGGAGATCCAGAAGAAACGGCAGCAGAAAGAGGAAAGGAGCAGGGATGAGGAAGAAAATAGGATGATGTCGAGTATGACCGAGGATATGTTTGTGCCGACATTGAAACTGCACTTGCAGGCATCTGCGAGAGAGGATAGTGCCCATGAATACCCAGATGGGCAGAAGGAGCAATCGGGATTCGGCGTACAGCCTGGGAAAAGAGGATCTCGAGGAGAGTCGAGCAAGAATACCTCGAAGCCAGAGAGAGCAGATCAGCGAGCTCGAGCCAAACACTTGGAGACTGTCCGACCACAAGACCAACATTCAGACCAACGATCAAAAGAGCCCGAAAATATCCGAATGTTGTCCAGATCTGCGGCTCGCGCATACCAACAGGCGAGAGTCTTTGAGCGAGAGGGGAAGCAAAACCGAAGCAAAAACACGCGAGATAAGGGAAACCAAGTAGAAGATTCAAGTGATGAAGACACCTTACCTCCACGCAAACGAGAGTTCAGGGGGCGGCTATTTCCAGATGATGAAGAAGAGATGCCATTTGCTCCGCTAAAACAGGAGCCATAGCGAGAGGTACGCGCCAAATAATGCATTACGATTAAGCCTTCTTCCTGGTACTTTTTGGCCGTCCACGCTTGGGCTTGACCTCCATAGTATCATCAGCCGAGCCAATATCCTCAGCTTCGATCGCATCAGAAGTCTCGTCTTCCCCGTCACTATCCTTTCCGCCCTCAACGGCATCCGTAGATGGGCCTTCATTGGTGGTGGGATGATCCTGGTCAATCTTCTCTTGCATTTCCTTCACAGCCTTCACGGCGTCATCTTCCTCGCCGTTCCAAGCCCCGCAACCAAAACATCTCCATTTTCCTAGGTCGGTTAGGCTCTTGGTTCCTGGGGGTGCTTGTCCATTCACGAGTCGGCAATCTTGGCAAATGAGAGCTGTGCGATTCTTTGGTGAGGTCTCATCTTCTCCCATTAATAGGTCCAGTACTCTGTCGTACCAATGTCCTTCTGCGCCTAATTCACCGCTTTGGGCATATTGTGATTGGGAGGTGAAGGCATTTGGCGCGAATTCAGGAGGACCTGGTTGTCCAGGCAGGGAGACGGGATAAGGGGTTATATTTGATTGAGGGCTCATATTAGGGACGTGTTGTGGGGTGGAAGGTTGGCTAGAGGTTGGAATTTGATTCTGGCCAGGACGTTGAATATTGGCAGTAGGTGGTGGAGGGCCTGTTCCCGTTCTCTGGAGTTGAGCCTGGGTAACCTTCGGGTTTTTAGGGGAGGTCTTGGGTTTCTTGGGTTTTGGGGCTGGAGTGCCGCCATATTTTTCTAATAGCTCCTGTGTAGAGTTGTACTTCGTGGCAGCTTTGAGCTTATCAATGGTCTTTGCCCGCTCCGCTTGTTGGACCTCCAAGCGCTGTGTAGCCGTGTCGATTCTAAACTTGTAGTAGGAGTTGATACCCTGTCGAATGAGGTAAATGCTGTAAAATATATCAGCAATTGTCCTTACTGGCACATACAATAACACCTACAACAAAGGACTTCCTGCAATAGCTGTGTATTCCATGTAGTTCCAATTTTTCCACCCCACCACTAGAAACAGAATAATGACACAGAGCAAGTAGGCAAAGCTAGCATAAAGTGTCCACAGGGCCTTCAAACGCCTGTGATTCTGGCGAATGGAGTCGAGCTGCGTCTGTGACTTCGATATCTTCTCCGCCAACGCCGACAACGCCTTCTCGAATGAGGCTGGAGAGTTGTCCTCGCCCTGAAAGGGTTAGTGTTTGATTGTGAATATTGCAAGAATAACACACCTTCCAAGGCCAGAATTTGACCATTATGAATTTGCCGTGGGCTTCAAATCGGTATTACCTGGCCATATTGTCCGTGATCAAAAAGGATGAGCATAATACGTAGGCAGGAGGACATCGCGTGGCCTTGTTTGTAGGAGCAGAGCTCTAACGCGGGCCGCCAGTTTTTCCGCGCTTTGAGGCCAGGCCGGCCGTCTCACTTCACAGTTAATGTTGACAGGTATTTTATTTTAAACCACCATTCAACAGTCGCAATAATGATATTTTCTCTCTAGATGGGTCCGACCCATCCACGCTATTGAAAAATACAATATAGGCATATGTGACTACAATGTTCCAGGTAATGATCCCACAACCCTCACCACAGCCTTGTCAACACGCTGACTTGTCTATTCCAGCGCCTCAAGCAAGCTGTCGATACCCGAATTGCTGAAGAGCAAGCCCGCGCCGCGCAACATTCTACACCTGTTTCTATAGCACGATCTAACTCCACAGCTCGACGAACAGATTCTCCTTCCGCGAGACCACGAAAACCGAAACCGAAAGATAGTGATGGGACGCCGACAAGAGGCCCAGACCCTTCCGAGTTCGAGACTGCTTTTATCATAGAAGACGATTCTGAGGAGGCTTCCAGGGCTAGTACACCAGTGATGATGGATGAAAAGGCGCATCTAGTGGCGGGGAGCACTGCGCCCTTGGAGGCTGGTGGATCTGGAGATGGGAGTGCAAGGGGGTCGGCCACCCCTTTAGCTTTGCCTACAGAAGTTCGCACAAAACTAAGGAAGCTGGAAAAGCTAGAATCAAAATACCAAGGTAGTACATGTTTTATTAGGTGGTTTTGCAAAGCTTACTTTATCTACAGAGCTTCTGCGCTCCTACCGAGTTGCACATGCCCGTGCCATATCCATAGAGCCCTTCGAGAAGGCCTTGAAGGAAAACACCCCTCTAGGCGGTATATCTGATCCAGATGCTCTGGTGGAATACCTGAACCAACTTAATCTAAAGGGGGATATGGTAATGGATGAGCTGAAGCGTGTATCAGCCGATCGAGACAACCACAAGAAGAAGTTTGAGGAGTCAGAGAAACAAGCTTCAGCACTTAGAGAGCAGCTTGAATCAGCCAAGAGTGGTACCGCCGGTGAAGGTAGTGTTGCGGAATCAACAGAAAAGGGGGATACCATGAGCATAGATACGCCTTCAGCATCCGTCAAATCACCTGTTTCGTCCGTCCTGGGGATTTTCTCGCCCAAACAAAAGGCACAGGAATTGTCAGATAATAAAGATGTCAATGAGGAGTTCTTCTCTTATGACGACGAACTGCCAAAACTTCAATCGGAGGTCAAGCAGAAGACTATCGAGGTTGAGGATTTGAAATCAAAGGTCGGCAGGTTAGAGAAGGATCTGGCGGTTTCTCAGGAGTCGAGTGCTGGCTTAGTTGAAAGTCTAGAGAAGGCAACCCGAGAACTGAATGAATCCAAGGATGCTGCTGCAGCCGGCCAAGATGACACCAAGCGGATGGAAGCACAAGCCGAGGAAATCCGAGGTTTAAAGGACGAGTTACAAACCGCCAAAAAGCAGCTTTCCCTTCTGGAAGCCGATCTCGCAAGTCAAATGGAAGAATCAGCTGAAAAGATATCTACTTTGGAGAATGGTTTTGAAAAAGAAAAGAACGAATCTCAAAAGAAGGTCTCTACGTTAGAGACTAACATCAACAATTTCAAAGAAGCTGCCAATCAAAAAGCAAAAGCGGAAACCGATGCTCGCAAGGAAGCTGAGAGCCTGCGCGAAAAATTGGATCTGCAGATCAAGGAAGTAGAAAAGGCACGGGACAGCGGCGACAAGAAGATCAAGGAACTTTCGGAATCGATCAGAGTCTTGCAAGACCAGATCAAAGAGACCGAAAGCCACGAGACCGAGGAGCCCAAGACAGTAATAGTTCCAGAATCTTCGGCTACACCTGCGGCTGGCACTGGCAAGAAGAAGAATAAAAAAAAAGAAGAAGGGAGGGGTTGCTGCTGCTGCGGCTGCTGCGGCTACTGCCAACGCTGCAAATGAGGAATCGGTGGGGAAAGAAGCCGATTCGCAACCTCCTACACCATCGCTAGCCACGACCGAGCTGCAGACTGAGATATTGAAACTCAAAGAGGAGGTCGCCGACAAGGACGCGCAGATCGCTAAGCTACAGACCAAGCGGAAAACAGAGGAGGACCTCCGAGAGGAACTTGAAAATATGCAAGAAAACTTCATCAACATTGGCCAAGAACACGTAGAGGCGAAGGACAAGATCAAGGAGCTGGAGTCTGAGAAGACATCTCTCAAGGAGCAAATTATGAAGTTGGAGCAAGAGATCGAGACTTACAAGAGCCAATCGAAAGACTCTGAAAAGGTTGGAGCAGAATTTAAGTCTTTGACCTCTGAATATGAAGACCTCAAATTAAAGTCCGCTGCATTGCAAACAGATCTTGGCGCGGCCCAGCAATTAGCACAATCACGGTATAGGGACTTGACAGAGCTACGAGATGTACTACAAAAAGCCCAGCCCGAACTTAAAAGTCTCCGCACTGAGAATGCGAATCTCAAGGTCGCCAAGGATGAGCTAGCCAGCCGTACATCCGAGTTGAGGAGGTTAGAGGCACGAGAGAAAGACCTAAAATCTGATATGGCAAGCTTCAAAAGACAAGCTGCAGACCGCGAGACTGAGATGAGAACGTTGAATGAGAAGATTACACAGGAGACGAATGGCAGGTTACGGGCTGAGGACCAAGCTCGTGTTGCTCAACGGGACTTCAGAAAGTCCGAGGCGGAGAAGATTCAACTCGTTGCATCAGGAGAAAAATCCGCGACCGAACTCGTAAGGATACAAGAAGAGGCCGGTAAAATGCGCACCAAGGTTCGAGATTTGGAAGATCAGGTATCGAGGCTTACGAGTGAGTCGAAGGGTCTCCGGCAGGAAGTTGAGCTACGTGGCTCGCAATACAACAACGCTCAAGGATTACTGGGCAGCATGAGAGACCAGAGTGCCGAGATGGCCATGCAGCTAAAGGAAGCCAAAGACCAATCGGAAAGCCTGGAAGAGGAATTGACTGAGGTACAAAGGCTGCTAAGTGAGCGTACCAGAGATGGAGAGACGATGCGTAGGCTATTGGCGGATATCGATGATCGAGCGGATGCAAAAGTGCGAGAGATGAGGGAGCGTATGGAAGCTGCGATCGAAGAACGTGATCGTGCCGAAGATGAGGCTAGCACGAATGGTCGACGGAGAGCGAGGGAAGTCGATGAGCTCAAGACGAAGATTCGAAATTTTGAGCGGGAGCTGAAAATAGCTACTAATGACCGGGATGAGCTACAACAATCTGAGAAGGAGTGGAAGCGACGACGAGACGAGCTTGAAGGGGTATCCGACAAGGCAGCTCAGGAAGTCGGTGACATTCGTTCAGCAATGGGCGAACTCCGTGATGCCCTAGATGGCAGCGAGAAGCAAGTTCGAGACGCCGAAAAACAGCGTGCAGACCTTAGGCGGATACTGGAAGAGGCGAATCAACGATACGAGAAGCTTCAAAGGGACTTTAAGGCTCTACAATTGAAGTCGTCAAGGATGGACATGTCATCCAGATCCTCCTTTGACAGTGGAAGAGGTGGTAGTCCAGTCAACGGCTCTGCTCAAGGGGGCAAAGTCGATTATGTCTATCTGAAGACGATCTTGCTTCAGTTCCTGGAGCAGAAAGATAAGAAACGACAGGGCGATTTGGTTAAAACGGTTCTCGGGCAGTTATTGCATTTTGATAAGTAAGTGGCCATGCTTCGAGACCTCTTATACAATGCTAACATTTTCCAGAAAAGATCAGGATAAATGGATTGCAGCCATCTCTGCCAGGTGATGGACTACCATAGCGTGTACCGAATAGGTTCCTTTGGATTGTATAACGCATAGGGGGACATGAGCGTGGAGTTGAACCGGAGAAGATCATGACAATTGCGGAATGCTTAATAGAATTACTTAGCATGTTGTATACTAAGATCACGGCGATGATCTAGGATAAATAGAACATCATGCCCGATTCCATCCTTTAGACCTGCATTATAGAGCGAGGCTTTAGCATGATGTCCAGACACCTGACTTGGGGTTGACCCCGCGATCCCCCACGCCTGAGAACCAAACACCAAACTGGTATCACCACTTCTAGCAAATCCGACGTCTATTACCAAGGTATATAACGCTGTGGAGTAATCAACAGTTTTTAAACACTAATGCTAATGTGAATGCTAATTTAAGATGGACGAATTCTGACACAAGCATCGTCTTTCAAGCTACCTTGCCATTTGGAAGGGATAAAGAGGAGAGGGGTATTTAATCGCCTGCATCGTCTGATATGTGGGCTCTTATTAGTATACTTCCAAGTTTAGTCTTCATACTGTAGACATCATTGGCGCAGGTATGTTTGCCTCACCACTGTCGTACCAGCCAGCAGGTTTTCTGATAGAGAACATATTCTCCCTCTTCCTTTCTTTATGATTCCCAACGTTGGGTCTTAGTACAATTCATAATAATTTGATATGTTTGACTGCAGCCAGCCCGGGCAAGCCCCCATGCTAAGGATTTGAGAATCGGTAGTGCATCTTCATCCCAGCGCCTATCGCCAGCCAAACGCACGTTCTCTGTAACGAGTTAAAACACCCCTCCTCCACCAGTCCAGCCCCCCCATTGTTATTGTTCTCGACGAAGAGGGACTGACGATTGCGCAGTCAAGTGTTTCTGTTTTTCTTTTTTTGGCCTTGGTTGCTCCCCTTCGCGACTATCACAAAGTTGGCAAAACTTGTGGCGATATCTCTGACGGTGTTGCCCCCCTTCAAGCGCACAATCGCATCTTGCTAGACTGCTAGTACAGTGTTGATCAACTGGAGCTGCCATTATCAACACCATCCTATCCTCTGCATCCGCCAGGCCAAACTCTTATCCAACTCAAGATACCTACACCAATCCAAGTACCACTCCAGGATCAAGAAGCGCGATCGCGACTGAATACCGAGAGCCCGGAGAAATCCCGCGTCAACCTTACACAAAGAAGTTGCAGTCGCAGTCGCAGGCGCAGTCGCAGTCGCAGTTGCAGTCGCAATACTTCTTCCCTCATCCCTCTCCCTCCAGTACCCACAATCCACACACAAATATCATGAACGGGTCCCAAATCAAACAGGCCGCAATCCAGAAAGCCAAACAAGTCGCCAGCAGTGCTTCCGCCTCTAATGGCAACTCCAATAAGAAGCGCAAGAAGGAGCTAAAACCCATCATTACAACCGAGGGACATCAAGATGCTGAGATGGCATCGTCAAACCAACCCAGTGCAGGGTAAGTCTTGTTTCTCATTCTCCACATCCACATCCGCATTCGCCCCATTGTCACCGCATCTTACCTCCCCTCACCTCCCCTCAACGCCACTTAAACTTGTTTCTTACTTCACTTTGGCGCCCAAATGATTCAATTCCATTCTGCTCTCCTTTGCCATCGAACCCAAAATGCTCCACGCCAATTGCCACACTTCTCCACACTACTATGACTTCGCTGCTCAAGACCCTGCTGACGACCAATAATCCTGCGCACAGATCAACGGGCGCACCAAATTCTTCAAAACCTACCATGAACCGCGACCCTTCCTCCTCCTCATCCACGCGGGAAGACGCCGCAGAGACGACCGCCGACGAAGAAGATTCTGAAGATTACTGCAAGGGCGGCTATCACCCCGTCTCTGTCGGTGAGCAATTCAAGGATGGAAAATACACGGTGGTGCGTAAGCTGGGATGGGGTCACTTCTCGACCGTGTGGCTCTCTAAAGATAACGTCACGAATAAGCACGTTGCGTTGAAGGTTGTACGGTCCGCAGCACATTACACAGAAACGGCCGTAGACGAAATCAAGCTGCTGAACAAGATCGTGGCTGCAAAGCCAGATCATCCGGGCCGGAAACACGTTGTCAGTCTCCTCGATTCGTTTGAGCATAAGGGTCCCAATGGCACACACGTGTGCATGGTGTTTGAGGTTTTGGGCGAAAATCTGCTGGGCTTGATCAAGCGCTGGAACCACCGTGGTATACCGATGCCGCTAGTCAAGCAAATCACGAAGCAAGTCCTCCTCGGCCTAGACTACCTACACAGAGAGTGCGGTATTATACATACAGATTTGAAGCCAGAGAACGTTTTGATAGAAATCGGGGATGTGGAGCAGATTGTCAAGACCTTTGTGAAGGAAGAGCCTAAGAAGGACGAAAAGGAAGACAACCGGAATGGACGAAGAAGACGTCGGACCTTGATTACAGGCAGTCAACCATTACCCAGTCCTCTCAACGCCAGTTTCAACCAGGCGGATTTGCTGAGATTTCCTGGTAGCACGCCAAGTTCTCACACGAGTCTGAACCAAATGATGCATGAAGGTAATGAATCTCCCGTCAAAGACACAAGCAACGCTTCTATGAGTCCCGTTGTAATGAGTGGTGCAATAGGAGGTTCGAAAGACGCATCGCCCAAAACCGACAAGGAAGACGAGGACCAACATAAACAGCGGGAAAAGACTGCGTGAGTTTCTATGGGCATGATTTGTTGTATCAATAGCTAATGGTAAAAAGTGACCTTTTGACCCGGGAAGTTTCTGGCATCTCCCTCGACAAATCGAGCGAAAAGAAGAAAGCTGAAGATGCTATTGCGGGGGATATCATATCGGTTAAGATTGCAGATTTGGGGAACGCGTGTTGGACAGGTCATCATTTCACGAATGACATCCAGACAAGGCAATATAGATCACCTGAAGTTATTTTGGGTGCAAAATGGGGAGCTAGCACGGATGTATGGAGTATGGCTGCTATGGTATACCCCCACTCGTTCTATTTCCTCAAGCACGGAACTGATGAAAACAGGTCTTTGAATTAATAACTGGCGACTACCTCTTCGATCCCCAATCGGGCACAAAATACGGCAAAGATGACGACCACATCGCACAAATCATCGAGCTCCTCGGCCCCTTCCCCAAAACTCTCTGTCTCTCGGGGAAATGGAGCTCAGAAATCTTCAACCGCAAAGGTGAACTCCGCAATATCCACCGACTGCGCCACTGGGCCTTGCCCGATGTATTGAAGGAAAAGTACCACTTCAAGGAGGACGAGGCGAGAAAGATTGCGGAGTTCCTGGTACCGATGCTAGAGCTGACGCCCGAAAAACGGGCGAATGCTGGGGGAATGGCTGGATGTGCGTGGTTGGAGGATACGCCGAGGGAGTGGTGGGGACGCGGATTGAGGGTTTGGAGGTAGGGAGTAAAGGGGAGGGGATTGAGGGGTGGGCTTATGAGGTTAAGAAGAGATAGGTGGTGTTTGTGGAGATGGTGTTACGCTCTTTACGACATGACTCTCCTTACCTCTGGAGCAAGTAAACACCAACCAACGTTACATACGCAAATACAGGGAGGGTCCTTTGTCAGCTGGTTGGTTGGTTTGATTTGCATATGTGAACTCGATGATGAACTATATTGGAGAGCGGTGGGTTAGGGTGGTTGGGGGTGGGCGTTGGTATGAATTCATACGTTTATAGTAGATAGAATTGGAACTTGAAACAAAGATGATATGCCTGTCTGTTTAGAAACGTATCTTTTGCCTGTTCCGTGGTGATTGGTTTTCGGGTTACCTGGATTGAAGTTGGAGTACGTGACATTGCAAATATATTCTGGTTTGGGAATTCTCGAGTGAGACGAAGTATGGTTTTTCTAGTCTTTGTGATTTATCCAAATCATTTATATCGTTCTTTCACTGGTACTAGGGAAGACGACCGCCGATTTCACATACATAGCTATCAACTGAGACTTGGCAAATCTGCAAGCACAGGTTACATGACAAACTTCATCGCAATGTTGCAGACTTCATCAAGATTGCGGTGTTATATATAAATTCTTAGTTAGGAATGCTCTACCAATTATACATCATTCCCAGTAATACGCGTGCTGCAACGTTAGCCTATGGCAATACTTGAGTACCTATTCCTATTAATCCTAATATAACCATTCTAGGGGTATTAAGGTGTTTGTTGACCGCTCGATCGATGTCTTTGAAAAGAAACCCATCATAAGTCTAAGGCAGCTCTGCAGTGCATTAATCACCTGGTTTTCAATGTCTACCTATGTGCCTAAGTATCTTATCTTGCAAGAGACGAGAAAACTATGTGTTAAGAACTTGAAATGCCTCAAAAGAACACACCTAGAACACTCAGCACGATTCCAGCGGAGATCCGTCAAATGATCTTTCAGCAATTGTTTGTTTCTACAACTATTTACATAGGCTTCGACGATTCTGATGACGAATCAATTTCCACAGGTGCAAATGGACAAAATTCAAAAGACCATTCGGGTTCACTAGATGAACAGGTCTCGGCCGAGGGATTGGCTCCAGCAAACACAAGCATCCTTCGAACATGCCGTCTCATAAGCATCAAAGCAAAGCCCATCATGGCATCGGATATCCTCCTATATATCTCGAGCACAAAAGCAATGATCGATTACCTCTCTCAACTGAGTCCCGAGATTATACAGAACATTCGATACATCACCCTTCTACGGTGCTTTCCTTTACCACTGTATACGCAACCTCATGAAAGCCCTTGGGCTTACTTCGATGTTAGCCAGGCATTCTGCATGTTTCCAGCGCTGCAACTAGACCTTCTGAGGGTAAAGGATTGTTACCACCTTGCAGGCTGTTATTATATAGATACCGCGTTGTCCGACTTGAAAACATACGGGGCGATTAACGGCTTGATTCGAATATACGGATAGAAAGAGCTTCGTTTCATTACGGGGAGTACGCAATTCATGTCGGGACCTGGGGTGGATGCATTGGGTGAGCGTGTTTCACAGCCCTCGGAATGGAAAAGAATTGTCCTCGATCGTGATGGCAAGAATTCCGCTGCCACATTCGAGATGTTTGTTGCTAAGGAGCCAGATGTTGAAGGCGCGGCCGAAAATGGAGAGACCAGGAATGATTATGAAGCGATACCTAGGCGATGTTTGGAGGTTGAGGGAGATGTACATGCAACGCCGGAAGAAAGACGGAAGTATTTGGAAAGTAGAGAAGTGTTGATTGTTGCCAAACGAGGTGTCGGCGCCTCATACGTTCAGGATGGCAGACAACTTGATCAAAATCTCAAAAGCCTCTTAAATAGGATGAGTTGGGAAGAATTACTGTCCGATGATCGTTATGTTGACCCTGGGATGATCCTATGAGCTGGCTGAGGGTTCTCTATATGTTGTAAATGCAAGCTCTACGTAGGTAGTATACTCGGGTCCTAAACCTGCAAGGATGGATCATATACTACCCGTGAATAAGAACCAATAGTACCATTGTAATACAATGCTATTATCATCATTTCATAGGGATGGAAGATGAAGTCAATATCCTTCGCTAAAACAAGGGGTGAAAATTGCATTGAAGGCTTGAACCGCCAGCCGAAGTGGGGATACAAACGCACGAGGCTGTCATCAAAACATCCGCAGCCTACTGTCGATTTTAGCAACTTCTTTCGAAATGCCTCCGCCTGAGCCGCCTTTACTCAAAAATGATAATTTATTGTCTCCATCCGACAGTTATACTTCCACCGAATTCAATGGGACTGCTGGGGACTCCTCAGTAATGGCGGATCCTCTTGTCAGCGCGCTAGAAAGAGTCCATCTTGGATCCAGCAATGAAGCGGACAATTGGATTGATGATATTCTGGACTTGCAACGACCTCGGAAACGCATAAAGCAGGACCAAGAGGAGCTCAAACGTGAACTTGAAGAGAAATTCCTTACCCCTTCCACCTCATTCTCCCCGGAATGGCTCAACAAGCTTCAGCAGTACGGATTCCATCACTCATTAAGAGGCAAAATAAGCTAACAAGTTGTAGACGCTGGGAAGCTCCCACGGACTTCACAACCCTTTTCAAGATTGCAGCCACCCAAACCCGAACGATTACACGCTTCACTCGCGAAGGCCTTGAGGGTAGAGTTACGGGATACAAAGAAGTGACAGTCCCCGCCAACAGCGCAACTGCCAAGAATTCTACTTCCTTCCTGCGGAAACCGGCAAATAGAGCAGACTTCGTGCGAGGAGCGGCCGGTTTCTTTCCCTTCGCGCCAGGTGGATTGGAAGGTGTAGAAGCTGCTGCTGCGTTGGAGGAACAAGCAATACAAGCAAACAGCGGAAATGGAGAGGTAGAGAACAAGAATAAGCTGGAGAGGGTTATCAATTTCAGTGGTGAGGGGGCTTGCTCAGTGTACCGCCAGGTTTTGACCGGGGTTTGGATTTCGAGAAGTCCAAGAAGAGCAAGCTCGACAACGAAGAGGCGGAGGAGGTTGAGAACGTACTTGAGCAAGATCCAGAGGATGCGTTGGGGCAGAATGGCTCCCCTGAAGGGGCTGCAAATGGGACTTCGGACTTCGGAGATGTTTCCGAAGATGATGAAGAGGACGACATCGACTCTTTATTGCCTGTCGAATTCCCTGCGCTGGAGCCACATGGTGTCCTAGCAGCGTCTAGTGCCAAGAGAGGGGGGAGAGAATGGGCGCATATGGTCGATGTCAAACGGGAAATCACAAATTTCAGGGAACTGGTGCCGGACATGGCGAGGGAATGGCCTTTCGAACTGGACACTTTCCAGAAAGAAGCAGTATACCATCTGGAAAATGGCGACTCCGTATTTGTTGCAGCCCATACTTCAGCAGGAAAGACAGTGGTAGCAGAATATGCCATTGCTTTAGCGGCAAAGCATATGACAAAAGCTATTTACACATCTCCTATCAAGGCATTGAGTAACCAAAAGTTTCGAGATTTTAGGCAAATCTTTGACGAAGTCGGAATTCTGACCGGAGATGTACAGATTTCCCCAGAAGCAAGTTGTCTTATTATGACTACCGAGATCCTTCGGAGTATGTTGTACAGAGGAGCGGATCTAATTCGAGATGTTGAATTCGTCATTTTCGACGAAGTACATTATGTCAATGATTTAGAACGAGGTGTTGTTTGGGAAGAGGTCATCATCATGTTGCCAGAGCATGTCACCTTGATTCTACTGTCAGCTACAGTGCCAAATACTTACGAATTCGCATCATGGGTCGGTCGAACTAAGAGGAAAGATATCTATGTCATATCGACGCCCAAAAGACCAGTGCCTTTAGAGCATTATCTTTGGGCCGACAAGGGTATTCATAAGATCGTTGATGCGGAGAAAAGATTCATCGAGAAAGGCTGGAAGGATGCTAATGATGTCTTGACTGGAAGAGATAAAGTGAAAATTGCCCCACCGGTAGAAAACAATGCCCGTGGTGGTGGGAATGGAAGAGGCAGAGGCCAAAATCAACGTGGCGGGCAACAAAGAGGAGGTGGGCAACGTGGGGGCGGGGGCGGAGGTCCGCGTGGAGGTGCCCAACAGAGAGGCCGTGGTGGACCTCCTCGAGCAAGTCATAACCCTGGTCATATGGGACGAGGTGGAAGACCTGGTGGGCGAACGAGTGCTGCTCAGGACAAAACCTTATGGGTGCATCTGGTGCAGTTTCTGAAAAAGGAAAACCTGCTCCCAGCTTGTATTTTCGTATTCTCAAAGAAACGGTGCGAAGAGAACGCGGATGCTCTCAGCAACCAAGATTTCTGCACGGCAAACGAGAAGAGCGCTATTCATATGATTATCGAGAAATCGATAGCCAGACTGAAGCCAGAAGATCGAGTACTGCCTCAGATTATACGATTGAGGGATTTGCTTGGTCGGGGTATTGCAGTTCATCACGGCGGTCTACTTCCGATCGTAAAGGAAGTCGTTGAGATGCTATTCGCGCAGACCTTGGTCAAAGTACTCTTTGCAACAGAGACGTTTGCAATGGGACTCAACTTACCAACTCGCACGGTAGTTTTTTCAGGATATCGCAAACACGATGGACACTCCTTCAGAAATCTCCTACCCGGCGAATACACGCAAATGGCAGGTAGAGCTGGCCGTAGAGGTCTTGACACTGTTGGATCCGTCATTATCGTTGCCCCTGGCGGTGAAGCACCCCCTGTCGCCGATCTCCGTCAAATGATCCAGGGCGAACCTTCAAAGCTTCGTTCACAATTCCGATTGACCTACAACATGATCCTGAATCTCCTTCGTGTTGAAGCACTTAAGATTGAGGAAATGATCAAACGAAGTTTCAGTGAGCATGCTACACAGCAATTGCTTCCAGAGCACGAGAAAGCTGTCAAGGTCTCCGAGGCTGATTTGGCAAAGATTAAGCGGGATTCCTGCGATATTTGCG